CCTCTTTTTCCTGCTCTTTTCATGTATAAGGAACAAACTCTTCAACTTGGTACTTATGTCACCTGCAAAGCACTTTTGTGGGCAAGACCAAAGAGTACAGGGTCTGGTCAGGTGAATGCTCAGCTGGCATTGCTGCTGAAGCCTGAAACACCCATCAGGTTTTACTATTCCTATTATTTATTTATTCTTAAAAATTATTATTAGAGACTTGTGAAGACTCTGGGAAAAAATCTCTTGCTGTCTGAGTTATTTTGGATTTGATAATTGGTGAGCAGTGAAACAAAGCATTGGCTTTGAAAGCAGCACAAAGCTCTTTGAAGACGATGTGCTGTTCAGGCTGTCTCTTGTTCACCCTCACATGGGTGGAGAGCAAGTCCTGGTCTTGTGAGAGAGGCCAGGTTTCTCTTCCTTTTATTCATCTTTTTGCCCTATGAAAGAAGTGAGCAGGAGATTCCAGGCCTTCTGAGGGGTGCATTTGGCTTTGGTTCTCTTCCTTTTCACCATTTTGAAGGACCCAATTCATATGTAGAGGATAAAACCTGTCAAACACCTGACTTTCCACTTGCTTATGCCATGTTGGGCCATGGCAATGCATGATGGCAGAGTGTAAGTTTGGGTAGGGCTTACTTGTTTGATAACAGTAAAAACTGAATCCACTAAACTGATGGTACAATTAGCTTGGTAAGGTGACGCATCCCTTATAAAGCAAGAAGTCTGCATTGCTGGTGAAGGTGTTTAGGAAACTTCAGCTCAGCATCTTTTGAACTGAGGCATAGCTGACCTTGCTTGCATACTGTCTGGGGTAGCACACATACTGAAAAGACCTAGTTCCCTCTCTTTTTTCCTGCCCTGTCTATTCCCTGGTGAGCTTTGGTTTGAAGTCTATTGCTTGGAAACAACTTGTATAGTCATCTAAGTATTTAACGAATAAGAATTAGAAATTCGTTAACACTGAATTCCTTTTCCTCTTGTCTTTCAGATAATGAATATGTTTTTATAGACCTGGAGCAGAAGCTTAGCAAATACTTCTCAAAGGAATGGAAGAAAGAGACCACCAAAGTAAGACAAATGTTTAGTTTTGGAGGCTACTGCTTTTAAATTGGACTAGACAGTGAAATTAAAGCCCTTAAGCTAAGGTCCATGAAGCATTTCTTGAAGATGGTCTGAAGAATGCTCTTTGGTGGCAAGGTCGTGTCTTGTGCATGGCTGTACAATTAAAAGAGCTAAAACAGCCCCTTACACAACTGTACCTGATCAATAGTAGCTGCATGGTTGCTGTTTAGCTGCTACAGGAGTAGAGAAGGTCAATTGGTCAGTCTTCCTTTTGAACTTAGCCTTACCCACAAAGAGTCTAGAGGTCTTGTTGTGCTTAAGCAGAAGAGCCTAAATGACAGTTTGTGACTTGAACCTGGTATGAGGAAGAGACTGGAGCTGTGACTGTTCCAGAGTACATACAGAAGGAGAGTGGAGTGAGAGGAAAGATACTTTGAGAAGAGCCTTAGTGCTTTAAGGCTAGCCAGGCTTGTCAATGGAGAGAAAAGCTACGTGAAATAAAGACAAGCCTACGTAATTGTTTAGTGCTGGTCATTCAGACATGATAGTGCCTGTTTGTGTGTGTCATCATTAGAGGAGACACAGTCCAGAACACTGTGTAGTATGCAATTACATTCAAATATCTTGATTAGCTCATTATGACTTTTTCCACCTTCCTTAAGGGTTTTCACTTGCCATTTCTGCTGCTTAGAGAACTTTGCAGATGACTATTAAGGTTTGGGGATCTCTCTTATCCCATACTGCTTCTCCCACATACATGAAGGTTACTTCAAAGATAGCTGCCAGTTGTGCAGAGGGCTGTCTGTCCAGCCAGTGGGGGATTCCTGGGGCAGGTGTTTCTAGTCACCTCAGAAGGGGGTATACTTTGTGGTTGCTTTGAGGCTGGATTCTTGCAACACTTTTTAAGTCAGGATAAGTGTCAAACCTCTGGTGCAAGGTGAATTGTAAAAGGCTGGATGAGTTGCCATTGGCAGTACTGAAGTCTGAGAGGAGCTAAGCTGTTGGACTGGGTTAGCAGACAGGGATTTAATTCCTGTGAAGAGGTTTCAGGTGGAAAGCCCAGTCCAGCTGATAATATAGGGTGACTATGAACAAGTTCCAGAAAAATAGCATGTAAATATTTGCATGATGATCGAGAAATTGCTGTCTGCATCAGATGTGCGCAGCATGCCACGTACTTGTCTCAGTGAGATGGGTCTGACCAGCAAAACCTTGAAGCTGTCTGTTGAGCAAAGATGCCTGTATGAACACTAAAGACGTGAGTGGCAAAGTAGAAAAGATGAGAGGATGAGCAAGTAAGATAAGATGTTCCTTTTTTTCTTCCCTTCTTACTTATTTTTTCTTTTTTTATTTCTCCTGTTTAAACAAGCCTCTAAGTCTGAAAGGTAGGCTGGAGTTAAAACAACAGCAGAACTCTTGCTGGCTTTCTTCAGCAGACATCTTCAGTGTGAAGCAGACATCAATGTCTCCTTTTGGTGTGTGGCTGCAGGAAGGTGTGAATAACCAGCCCTTAGCCCTGCCAAACAAAAGGCAAGGAGCTAGCATCAGGCTGGTGTGCCTAAGCCCGGGGCAGTAAATGCTGCACGCAGCAGCGCGTGTGTCCGTGCTGAGTGATGTGGTGCGGCACAAAGGTAGCTGGTTACTCCTAGGTGTGCCAGCATGGCACGCTGCCCTACTGCCTTGCCTGGTGCTCTAGGGAAGCTGTGTTCAACCTGCTGCGTTCAGCACTAATGTGCTGCCAGGTGCTGAGCTGGGTTACTCTAGGCCAGGCTGGGCATCTCCAGGCTACACTGGGACTCCTGTATATTACTTTTAATTCCATTGCCCCCATCCAAAACCTTCTACCCTACCCTGGGATGTTTTGCCATTCAGCCTGGCTAAATGTTTTATGATGCCTTGCTGTTGTGAGCCTTCAAGACAGTCAGATCTCCTCCCTAAAACTTGCCGAGAGCAGAAAATGAAAAGCAGTGTGGAAAGCGAGCTTGGGAGAATGTTACCAGACAGGTAACAGGAGTTTTGGATACAGAACGTTATTTAATTTGTCTTCTGTCTCTGCTCTAGGGAACAGAGAAATTCAGCCCTCCTTTTGTTGCGTTCTTTAGAGTACAATACTACGTAGAAAATGGAAGAGTAATAAGGTAAGTTCCCTTCTGTGGTAGTTTTGTGTATTTTGAATTATTCACTGTTTTCTTAGGAGCCAAGAAAAATAACATACATTTGTTGAGCTCATCTCTGTGAGCTCTCAGAAATAAGCTTAAAAGATCTGCTTTATTTTTCTTTTCTTTATCTTTATTTTTTTTTTTAAGACCTTCACAGACTTTGTCACCCAGCCATGAATGTTTTGCCCTTGATTCATACTCCTTATCCCTTTGAAAACAGTGACTGCTTTTCCATCTGTGTTTGGAGAGCAGGTTGAATGACGACAGTATCAAAATACAATTAACACTCTTCTGCTTGCGTCCTTTGGTTGTATGAAAAGCATCAGATGAATACACCAAAAATATCTATCTATACTGCAGAGCACATGCTAATAATTTTGAATCTTTCTTTTTCTTTGTATCTCAGCAGTGCTCTGTGCAGTCTATTCCTGGAAATGAACTTTTGTAAGCAGACAAAAGAAATTACTTCATAAGTTTTGCATTTGCAGTCCATTCACATGGAATATGGGCTGCACTCAAAACACCACCACCCTCACCCCTGGTACAGAACAAAGGATGAGGTAGTTAAAAATGAACAACTGACAGAGTTAATTTGCATCAGCACTTCTGGCATCATTGTGACCCCGGGGCAAGCCAAGAGCTGGGATCATTTGGGTGGATTAAAATCTTTACCAAATTTTTGGCATTTGTTCTCGTCTTGAACAAAGCTTGGTGGTTTTTTGTTTTTCTCTCTCTCCATAGTCTTTCATTTTGGATACAGGGGAGTCTTTCTTCTGGAGTCTGTTTGGCTGTTAAGTGTTTTTCATTTAGTTTTGCTTATAGGTAGAAAGGGAGATTGCATATCATTCTACCAT